ATTAATACTTAATTAATTGCTTTTTATTAATGAAAAACTTGACAACAATAAATCTTTAAACAAATAAATAATATTAAAATATGATATTGTTTTTAAACCTGTCAAATGATATTCTTTTCAATAATATAAATAATAATTATGTAGATTTTTATTATTTCTTATTTGTAATATGTGTTGTTAGTATTGTTTAATCATAAGGCTAATTTATGTCATGTTAATATTCACAGATTTACTGGACCTTTGCATTATAACCCCAAGAATAAATTGTTTCCAATACCTTATTATTCATATAGTTTGTTAAGACTCTAATTCATAACGAAGATTAAAAGCATGTACTGACAAAACACTAAAACTGTAAAACTAATAAACATTCAATTTCTTTTTGAAATGAATAGTTTGTTCTTATAACTGAGTTTTCTTTTAATTGATAAATGATTATATCAGGTTCTTCAAAACACATTATAACTCTTGTAGAAGTATTTCAAATTTACTCTTCAATTTAAAAAAAAAATAAAAAAACTTTAAGAAGTTATTTAATTGAAGAAAAAAACAGAGTTGAACTAATAAATTAACTCAAAAATAAAAATGTCACACAGCAGTGGTATTGAATTATCAACTGACTTAATTAATAAGTTTAAAGATATGAACTCAAGTGGAAATGGAAGATTTATCCAAGCCACTATTGTAGATGAAACTATTAATATTAAAGCTATTGAACAAGGAACATCAGATTTTGATGCGGATTTAGACCTTGTATTAAAATATCTTGTAGAAGGAGAACCATCATATATCCTTTTCAGAACTGAAACACGAGACGATATTACTAATGGATATAAATGGCTTCTTTTAGCTTATATACCAGATAGAGCTAAAGTTCGTATGAAAATGTTGTATTCATCTACTAAAGCACGTTTTAGAACAACACTTGGTGGAAGTACCTTTTTATATGAAATACATGGAACTGTTTTTTCTGATTTTGGAAAAAGTGGTTATGAAGCTTTCTTAAGACATGAAATGAGTGCTCCTCCATTGACTGAAGAGGAAGAAGAAAGAGAAAAAGAAATAGAACTTGGAATTAGTGGTCTTGGAGCTGTCCCAACTGGAATGGCTACTGTTACCGCATCAAATGGAGTTGCCTTCCCTGTTGATGAAAAAGTAATTAATGCAGTTAAAGAATTATGTGATGGAGGAAATAATTATGTACAAATTGGTATTGATATTGATAATGAAAGAATTGTTCTTCAAGCACAAAAGTCTGTTGAAATTGATCATCTTGGAGAAGAAGTTCCACTTACATTACCAGCTTTCCATTTTTATAGATGGGATCATGAATATGAAGGACAACAAATGTCTAAAATTATTTATATTTTCTCTTGTCCAGATGGAAGTGGAAATACAAAAAGTGCACCTGTTAAACAAAGGATGTTATATTCTACTTCTAAAGGTGCAGTTGAATCAGTGTTAACTGGTAATGGAAAAGAAGTTGATTTAAAATTAGAAATTAATGCACCAAAAGATTTAAGTGTTAATGAAATTCAAGATAAAATCCATCCACCACCAGTACAAGAAAAGAAAATGTTTGCTCGTCCAAAACCAAAATTCTGCAGAAAGAAATAAACAGAAAGTTTTAATTCAGTTCTTTTTGTTTTTTTTAATACCAAATTATTTAAAATATATTTTTTTTTTGATAGTTTTTTATTCAAAAAAAAACCATTTTGAAATACTTTTTTAAATTTAAATTAAATATAATAGTCAGTGTAATAGATGTACAAAATAGATAATAAGTATTGAAAATAACTTGAGCTATCTTTTGTTTTATTGAAAAATACCAGGATTAGAACAACGTGAACAATATTCACCATCATCTTCTTCGTTAAATTCAAAAGCCCTCATAGGAATTGGATTATAATGAATATCAATTGATCTATTAGTACAAGGATATGAAGGACTTGTTGAATCTGATGGTATTGATTGAGAAAGAATAGATGCAATTTCATTATCTGCATAAGCAGTTCCAGGTGATACAGAAGGTGCAGGTAAAATACGGTAAATAGCTTCATCATCAGGGACTGGAGAACAATGTCTAAGAGGACTTGGTAATGCGTTTGTAGACCTCCATTTTCTCGATTCAATTAAACGATTATTTTTTTTGTTTAACATAAAACGAGGAGTATGATTTGTTGAATAAGCCGAAAAAGAATTATCACTTACAACATGGTCAGCACGAAGAGAAAGACTATTATTGTTTAATTTTTCAGAATCACAAGTAGAACAAGATTGTTTTTGAGCTTTTTGTCTAAGTTGATTAAAAGTAATCATAGTCTTTTTCTTTTGCATTAATTAAATGGTTCCTTTTAAGTTAGTGTTTGAGAGCTAATTCTTTTTTTATTTATAAATGAATTTAATTGAATTTTCTTAATTTTTTCCTTAGTTTTCTTACTGTTTTTGTTTAAAACTTCTTTATTATAACCAAAAGTTTATTTGAAAAAGTTCAAAAGTAAAATTCTTGAATCATAAAAAGCAACTTCTGCTTTTTTAAAAACCATTTAAACTCAGAATACTTTGAAATGAAAAGCCCTACTCTTGAATTTTTATTGAACTCATTTCTCAAAAGTATTTTTAATTTAAAAAATTTATATTTTATTCGAAATTTTGTAACTCTTTTTTGGTTTTAAAAATACTTTCCAATAAATAATCGCTTAACTAGGGTTTAAACACAAGTCATTTATTTTTATTTCTTACTCCCTTTGAAAAAATAAAAAATCTAAAATTAAAAATTAAAAAACAAAAAAAAAAACAGAAAAACAAAAAATTAAAAAACTCAAAAATAGTGATATAAATAGAAACAAAGAACGTTAAAGAAAAAACTATAATTATTTTAATTTAAATTAGTTAAAAGTATTATTTAATAAAAAATTAAAAGTAATAGTAAGATAACTAATAAAAAATAGTTTTAAATAAAAAAATATAAAAATTTAGTTCAATGTTACCTAATCAACGACCCTCTCAGTCACCCCGTCAACAAGATGATAGAATTTGTGACAAATATTTAAAACTCTGTGAAAAGTCGTCTTTACTTTTCAGTCAATTATATGAAACAAGCTTTTTAGGAGAAGGATGGAGACCATTATATCAAAGAACATTTACAACATTTGCTAAATTATGGAAATTACAACAAACGTGCCGTAGTATTTTAGAAAATGGTAAAGTACATTTTAAGAGATATGATGTAGGAGAAATTGCTGCTAAGATTGCTCAGTTATACTATCACTATTATCTTCGTACTTCAGAAACTCAATTTCTAAATGAAGCATTAACATATTACCAAGAAATTAAAAGACATAATTATTATAAAGAAGACTCAAGCATTCAACGATCTTTTGTTCTCCAAAGAACTTTAAGATTCCATGCACGTTTCTTATTAGTTTGCTTATTAACTGATAAATTAAAAATGGGAGAAAATGTATTAAGTGATTTCGCTTTAACATCAGCCCAATTAGCAACAGAGACATTAATTCATCCAAATCTTCAAAATCATCAATTATTAGCTGAAGAAATGAAATATATAGTAATGAATATTGTTAACTTCTTAGTTCCTACAAGAGAAGGACGGGTTTCATATTCTGCTTTATCACGTATTAACCCACAATTAGTTTTTAATACAAAACCAAAAACAAATAATAGAAATGGACTTAAAATGTTTTCAGCTATTTTATTAGATAATAAACCTAATAGTTACTCATTTAGTGAATTATCTATTTCTTTATTAAGAATGATGTATGCATTAGAATTTAATTATCAACTTATGGCTCCAGAACAATTAAATGAATGGAAAAATCCAAGAAAACATTTATTAAGAAATGTTAGTATCCCAAAAACATTAAATTATATTGCAAGTACTTTTTGTGATATGCCAAATAATACTTTTATGTTATTGTATTTATCATCTACTGTTCATGAGGATACTATTCAAGGATATACAAGTACTAATGGATTATTTATGTCAAGTTATGGTAACCAACAACATATTCTTCATCCAGAAGATCTTCTTCCATTCCTTAGAAAACCAATGTTATTAATTATTGACTCAGATAAACAAAATTCTTTCATTCAATTATCTCAAAAACATTTTGATGTTCCACACTTAAGTTTATTTGGTCCAATAGGTGCATGGAAATTAAATACTTGTCCTCTTCCACATGACTCAATATTTACTAAAACTCAAGGAAAATATCTTCAAGTATTTAGTAATAAAAAAGATTCTATATTCAATTTATTCTTAAATGACTCATTAGGTGCATTCTGTAGAATGACTGATGTTGATCAAATGACTCCAGACACAAAAGAGGAATGTTCAAATTTATTGAAAGTGTTTTACGAAAAATTGTCTAATGAATTCTTTACATGTCCAAAAGTTCATCAAACTATTCAATTATTTATGGCTGATCCGTTTGCAAGAATGCTTATTTTAAGATTTGTTTTCTGTAGGTTGGTATTGTTAAGTTTGAAATTACCTGGTGATGCTGATAATTTTGATGTTCTTCTTCCAACTAGTAACCCACAAATCCCAAGTGAAATTTATGAAAGTGATACATGTAAAAACATTGTGAAAGACCTTGCTAACGTTCTTTCAAATTCAAACTGGTTTGATTTTGATGAATGAGACATGAACTTTTATTAATTGAATCACAAATTTCATTTCATCCTCTTTTTTCATATAGTTTAAATATTTTATTTTACTTCTTTGTTTCTTTGTGTTATTAAAGAGAAATTGTCTTATTTCTTTTATTTATTCAATTTTTTTAATTTAATCACTCTTTCTTTCTTATTCTTGAATAAATACTTGTTTATTCAATCCATAACTTAATATTATTCTTACAATTTTTTATCTTTTTTAAACTAACTAAATGCTATGTTTATAACTCTAATTAACATTAAAAAAATATTGAAGTTCAATTAACTATTCTCTTATATTAAAAACTGGATAATACTTGTTCTTTTATATTCATAATCAATTGAATTATAGATTTAATACTCAAGGATAATCATGATTAATAATGGAACTTATGAATTAGTAAAAACTATTCATTTAAGAATTATTGTTGATAATGAAAAACAGATTTATAAGAAATTAATATTCAAAAATAAAAACAATTTGTAAGAATATAAACTCCCTCAACCTTTTGTTATTTATAATTTTTTTTGTAAATAAAAATTAAATTTTATCCAATCGTATTTTAAAAAGAAATAAAAACAAATAAATAAACAGAATAATATAAATTAAGTGTATTGAAAATAAGCAAAATAAACACTTCCATTATGTATAAAATATAATATATAATGTTTATCTAAGAATTCTTCATTCTTTCAGTATAGAGAAATGAAAAACAAAAATATAATAAAAATAAAAATGAACTAAAAAAAAAAAAAGAAATTAAAAAAAATTGATGATTTTAGAAAAAAAAGTTAAAAAGCACTAAATAATCATATTATCGAAGATGATAAGAACAACTTTTATTTTATCGTTGCTCATATTAACTACATTAAGTAAGGAGATTAAAGATGAAGATGGAATTAAATTAAATGCTACAGCTTTAGAAAAACGACTTGAAGAAGAGGTTATTCCAAGATTCAAAGAGCATATTGTTAGAATTAATAAAAGACAGCCACAAATAAAACAAGAATTGAATCTTAAAATAAAAAAATTAACAAAATCATTAGAAAAAATTAAAAAAAGAATTGAAGAAATCAAAGTAAATATGCAAAAATCAATTAACAAAATGGAAATACAAGACAAAAAAAGAAAAGCTGCTATTCAAAAATATGAAAAATTTAAAAAAGAAAAAGCTATAAATCAAATGAAATTAGCTGAAGAAGAAATGAAACAAATTACAGATAAATGTACTAAAACAGAAAATATATTAAAGAAAATGCAAAGTAATCAACAAAGATTAGTTAAAACAGCTGAAAGAATTAGTAGTTTATTAAGAATAAAAAGAAAAGCATTAAGAAAAAGTGATGAAATAAAAAATATAAGAGTTAAAAGAAATACAGATAAAATTAATGAAATCACTCAACTTATTAAACAATATAAAAGTACACATCTTTTAGTTAAAAATATTAAAGATACTTTAAATGCAAAAAAGAACTCAGGAATATTTGATCAAGAATATAGTAGTTTAAAAAGAAAATTTAAACAATATCAAAGAAAAGAAACTACTGCTATTAATCAATTGGAAGATATGCTTAAAGCTATGACAATTAGACAAGAAGCTAAAAGTAAATTTAAAGAAGTAAAAGAAGTATTAAATGAAAAAGTAAAAGATGTTAAAGGACAAATTAAAAGAGATAAAGCTATTTTACGAAGAGTTACTATTAAGAAAAATATATTAAAAAGAAAAAAGAATTCAGCAACAAGTAGTGTTGAAAAAACTGAAGCTAAAAATGGTATGAAACAAATTAACTCTGAGTTAAAAGGATTAAAAATTAGAGTTAGACAAAATACTCTTATGTTAAAAGCTCTTAAAAGAAAAATTAATAGAGCTACTATTGCATATAATGCTAAGAAAAGAAATATTGAAGGTAGAATTAGTAGACAAAGAATGATGGATATGAAAGATGAAAGAGATAAGTTAAGATCAACAATTAAAAACTTAAAGAAGAGGTATAATAAAATTGAAAGAAAAGTATTATTAAATGAAGAATCACCAGAAAAGATTGCAGATTTAAAAAAGAGAATGACTGAAATAATTAATGAAATTAAAGACACAAAAGATAAATATCAAAATGCACAAAATGGAATTCATCAATACTTTGAAGAACGTAGAAAGAAATATGAAGAAAAGAAAAAACATATTGCCACGAGAAAAACTATATTAGAAAAGAGAATAGTTGTACTAAGAAGAATTATGACATTAAATGAAAAGAAATTAAGTCAAGAAAATAGTAGAGGTAAAAGACAAGTTTTGTTAAGAAAAATTAAGGTATTATCAAGAAGAATTAGAAGAGTTGATAGAAGTATTAAAAGTATTAATCGTAGATTAAGAAATTCAATTATTCGTGCAAGTAAAAGAAGTGAAAGAAAAGTTATTTTATTTAGTAAAAAAGAAAGACTTATTAAGAAGAAATTAGCAAGATTAGTTGTTAGAAGGAAAAAATATAATAGTTCAGAAAAATTAGTTAAATTAATTCCTCAAATTGACAGATTAGAAAAAGAGTATAAAACTGAATTAAAACAAGTTAAAACTCTTTTGAAAAAAGCAGAACAAGAAGCTAATTCTATGGAAGCTGAAGTTAAAGAAATTAATAAAATTAGAGAAGAAGAAGCTAAAATCAGAGAAAGAAATCTGAAAAAGAGAATTCATGTAGTTCAAAATAAACTACAAGTATTAAATGGTAGAAAAGGAGGAAAAGTCAACGATATTAAAGCAATGTTAAAGATGAAAATTGAGAGAATGAAAATTAGAGCTAACAAGAATCATAAAATTGCATTAGAAAAAAAGAGAAAAGTTGGAATTTCTAGACTAAATAAAGTTTTGAGAGGTGGAGTTAAAAGAATTAAGAAAATTGTTTTATTAAAACGACACATTAATTCTCTTAAAGAAAGAATATCTCAAGCTCAAAAAGTTATGAGAGAATTAGGAAATATTGTTAGTAATGGAGATATGAAAGAAAAGATTGAAACAAAGAGAGATGAACTAAAAACAAGTATCAATTTAATGACGATTAAAAAACAAAAAGAAGAATTTGTTTTAAGAAAAGCATCATCATCATTGCTTAGAACTGCTGGTGTTATTAGAGGAATTTCTGAAGCTACTATTCAATCTCATCAAGTCCAACATGCCAAATTAATTGTATTAAAAGATAAATTAGAAAAAGAAATAAATCAAACTCTTATCAATGGAGAAGAAGATAATGAAAAGAAAAATCAATTATATGATACAAACAATGAAATTATAAAGACTGCTGATGCTATTAATGAACTTCAAATTCAAATGGGTAAATTTAGTGATTTAGTGATGAAGGTTACTCAAGGAGTTGATGATGGAATTAAACAAAAAAGTCAATGTGAGATGTGTACTAACTTAGCTCGTGTTGCATTAAAGAAGAAAAAGTATGACGGATTTAGTACTATTGTTGTAATGAAATCAATGGACAACCTTTGTCGTAAATCAAAATATCCAACCACTTGCTACAGAACTTTAATAGAACTTGGCTCTCGCGTGTTTGAAGAAGGAGTTACACCTATAACTGCTTGTAGCCAAATAAATAAGTGCTAATTTTCAATTTTTTTTTGTTTTTCTTTAACTTTTTATGTTTTTATAATAACTCCAGTAATTACATTTGAAGAGGAGTTGTCTTTTAATTTGATAGTATTAGAAATGAGCTGTGTAGTAGAATTAGATTATTGAAGAAACTGAAATAGTCTCCAAATATGAAGTATAATAATAATTGATTTTTTATTTTATTATAATATAACTTTATTTTTATTTATTTGTTTTTATACTTTTCTTCATTTAATTTATATCTCTTTATTACGATTTATTAGTTAAAAAAAACACGTGGATTTTTATTTTGGGATTTGTAGTGTTTTGAGATGTAATCATCCAATCATGATACTCTTGTAACGATTTTAGGGTTTTTTTACAAGGGCTGGATCAAACCCCATGAGGTACTGATATTTAAGTACTTAAATACTTGTTTTGTTTATATAAATAATATAGGAATGTCTGAAGAACAAAGTTTAATTACTAATTCTATAGATACACCAAAAAATTGGAAATGGAGAATGTTCAATATTATAATGCTTGGAATTGGATTTTTAATAATATATATATCTTATAATACAACTGAAAACTTTATGACTAGTTTATATGGTAATTATGGAATGGTTTCTCTATCAATTATTTATTTTACTTTTGCAGTTAGTGGGTTTATTGTTCCTTTGATTCTCAGAAGAATTGGAGAGCGTTGGTGTCTTATTATTGGAGGATTTTGTATTATTCCATTTTTATTAGTAAATATATTCCAAAAGAGTTATCTATTGATTATATTTAGTTTCTTTGTAGGATTTGGACAGAGTCTTACTTGGTGTGCACAAGGAAGTTTGTTAACTAGATGTTCTAAACCAGAAAAAAGAGGTAGAAACTCTGGAATATTCTTTTTTGTTTATCAACTGAATCAAACACTTGGAAATGGATTTGCATATGTTATGACTTTGTCTGGATTAGATTTAAAATATCTATTTATTATTTTTTCTTCTCTTTGTCTTATTGGTATTATTCCATTTCTTTTCATTAAGTTTGTTTGTTTCTTTTCTATGAATATCCGTTAATTTAAAAATTAGAATGAATGTACTTCCAGAAATAGAAAAGGTAAGTCTCAAAACAGATTTAAGAAGTATAAAAAAAGTTCTTGTTTCAAGGAATTTATTATTGATGCTACCTGTTTTTATTTATTCTGGTTTAAGTCAGTGTTATATTTATGGAGAAGTAACAGCCATGTTTGGGGTTGAATATGTTACTATTGCAATGTGTATTTTTGGAACAACAAATATGATTATCTCATTAATTTTTGGAAAACTAGGTGATACGATAGGGAAATTTATTGTTTTATCTATTTCTGGATTTGTTATGGTTCTTGGTTTGATAAGCATCACTATTCACTACTTCTTAAACCGTTTGTTTTTAAATCAGTTTTTTCTACTCATTATTCATAGTTATAGCACCAGTACCAATACTCTTATTTACTGCTATAATTTGTATTGCAATTTCAGATGGTGGATTTAATACTCAAATAGATGCTTTACTTGGAAAATATTTCCAATTTGAAAGTGATGCTGCATTTTCAATATTTTATTCAGTTCAAAGCTTAATCTCAGGACTTGGATTTCCATTATTCATTTTTCTGATAAAAATAGTACCATGGGAACAGTGGTACCGTTTATTACAAAGTATCATTTTGTTTATATTAATACTTATTTCATTAGTTTCAGTATTTATCTTAGAGCATAAAAAGTTTGAAACAAAGAAATAATTGAATATTTTTTAGTTATAAAAAACATAAATATGGTCTAAAATAAGCTTTTCATTTAATAACACAAAATTAAAAAATAAATGATTATGAGATTAATATAGTTTTGGAGCAGAAACAAATTTAGAAGAACTATTATTTTACAAAGATGAAGTCGTTCAAGAAGACATTTGCAAGTGCTTTTAAAGAGAAAAGTGCAAAATTGTCAAAAATTGTAACTGAAGGAATTAGTGGATTAAAAGGAAAACAAGCTAAAATGGTTATGAAAAAGAAAGAGAGGAAAAGACAAATGGAATTAACAAAGAAAAAGAACCTTCATAAAAGATTACCACCTAATTTTAAAGAAAAGAAAGACTTCATTGAAGAAGAAAAAAAATATTTGTTATTCCCAAAAGATGATGAAAGAAGAAATAGAATTATTGAAGACTTCTTTTTACTTGGAGAAGAACTTGGAAGGGGTGCATTTGCAGTAGTTAGAAAAGCACGTGCTATTCCAACTGGTGAGTTATGTGCAGTAAAAGTGATTGACAAAAGATTAGTTAAACCTGAAGAAACTAAATTGTTAATTCGAGAAATTGAAATTGCAAGAGCTGCACAACATGTTGCTATTATGAAAGTTTTTGATGTCTTTGAAAGTGATATTAATATTTCTATTGTTATGGAATTGTTACCAGGAGGAACTTTGTTTTCTCGTGTTAGTAAATGTGAGTCAGGAATTCCAGAAGTAGAAGCAAGATGGGTTATTTATCAAGTTGTTTCTGCTTTATATTATTTGCACTCTCATTGTATTGCACATAGAGATATTAAACCAGAAAATATATTAATGGTTGGTGATGCTGGATTAACTTGTAGATTAGGTGATTTTGGATTTGCTAAGTGTTTCCAAAATGAGCCATTGAAAACTCCTTGTGGAACTCAAGACTATGCTGCACCAGAAATTTTAATGGGAGCTACAGAATATTCATATCAAGTTGATATGTGGTCAGTTGGAGTCATGTTATATGTATGTCTTTGTGGATATCTTCCATTTGATGGTGATACAATTGCTGAAAATATTGAACAAATGCAAAGTGGTGAAATTGTTTTTGATTCTGATGATTGGAAACATATTTCTAATGAGGCTCGTGATTTTGTTATTCGATGTTTATACCCAGACCCTCGTTTGAGAATGAATGCTGAACAAGCATTATGCCATCCATGGTTTAAAGGAATTGCTCAACCAACTATTACTGAGGGAATTGTTCCAGTTGAACAACCTGTTGCTGTTACTCAAGAAGAAATTGATAAACAAAAAGCAGCAGGTATTATTATTGATTGGGACGATAACGGAGATGAAGAAGATCCATCAGGACTTCCAGCTGCTCATATCCCACCAACAAGACCTGTGCCAGTATATCATGCTGACTAATAACACATCTAATTTTTCAGACTTTTGTTATTTAAATCATTTTTAAGAAACAAAGACAAGAAATAAAATTAATTATAATTAATAATATACTAACTAAAAGATATAATAAAAATGAAAAAGAAGAGAATAACCCTCGTTATCTGTTAAAGGAAACCCTTTTTAACAAATAACTTAGCACGAACATGCAATACATCGCTGCTTATATTCTTTGCACTATTGGACATGAAAACGCTGAAGAAGCTAAAGTCAAGGAAATCCTTACTGCTGCTGGTGCTGAAATCGATGAAGCTAAAATCAAACAAGTTTTTGATGCCATGAACGGTAAGAATGTTTGGGAAGTTATTGAAGCTGGAAAGAAACAAATGGGATCAATGGCTGTTGCCGCTGCTGCCCCAGCTGCTGGTGCTGCTGCTCAAACTGAAACCAAAGCTGAAGAAAAGAAAGAAGAGAAAAAAGAAGAAGAAGAAGAGGAAGACTTCGGAGGATTTGGTGATCTCTTCTAAGCGTTGCATAACTCGTTGCTGAGTAATCATTTTTTATTGGTTTTTTGTTATTAATTTTTTTTATTAAATTTATAAAAATAAATGAAATAATAAAAAAATAATTCTTTATTAATAAAAAAAATAAAAAATTATTTAAAATAAATGAATTCAAATCGTTTAAAGAACGTGTGAAGCTGATCCTGAAGCATTCTTCATCTTAGCTAAAATAATTTCTGCGGAAACGTCTTCAAGGTCTGAACACATATGAGTAATATGGAATTGTCCAAATTGATCTTGAATTGAACTAAGTTGCATTCCAACACCAGCCTTTTGAAGTCTTGGAGATTTATCACCAATGAATTCAATGAAAGCAAATTTAACACAAATAGAATCATCAATTTTATCAAAATCTCTAGCAAATGCAAAGTAAATTCCAGTATCTTTGAAAAGTGTTTTCAATTCATCAACTCCTCCTTCACCAGAACCAGCAATAATAAGTTTTTTACTCTTTGGTCCTTCATAAGTTAAACAAATCCAATTAGTCTTTTCATTTTCATTACGAATTTTAGACATAATTTCTTGGAATTTCTCTTTTTCAACAATTTCTACTTCAACCATTCTGAACTTATTAGTTCTTTTTCTTTTTTGCTTTTAATTGAGTTTATTACGTGTCATCTATTTTTTTCTTTTCTCCTTTATGTTTTAATTTTATTATTAATTTTATTATGTTTTACTATTTTTCTTTCTTTCTTTTTTTATCATTGTTTTTTTTAGTTTATAGTTTTTGAAGGTATGAAGAGTTTCTATTATTCAGTTTCTTTATAGTTCTTTAATATGAAAGTTTAAATATGATATATAAAACATATATTAATAATAAGGATGTGAACTAATGTCATAGTAATCATTGTTAGTAAATGAATCATCTGTCATAACTCCATAACTAAAACTCAGGTCAGAGCGTTCTTCTGGTTTTGAAATAGGAGTGCCTTTTCTAACTGTATTAATTTCTTCTAATGAAAAAGTCCTTTTATTTTCTTTCTTTTTATGTGTAGTAGTGTTAAACTTTTTTGAATCTTTTTCTAAAAGGATTTTAGAAAGACGTGGTTTTTTTTGTATTGTTTGATTGTTAAAATCTTCAGACATTTGAGGAAGAACAGTATTTGAAGAAGTAGAAAATGAATTTAGAATCTCTTCAGAAGTTATTTTATATTCTATTTTCATTGGTTCTAATTTTTTTTTGTCAAATGAATATTTGTCATAGTCTTGTTCTTTTTGTAAATCAAACTGTTGTCTTTTTAATTGGTTCTTTTTATTTTTAAATCTTTTTGTAAAAGTAGTTTTAGTATAACCACATTTATTTAAAACATGACTTAATTCGCTTGCTTCAAATAAATGAGCAGGTATATAAATAGAAGATAGTACTGAATAATGTAAATGACATAAATCAAATGTAATTTGATATATTTGCTGTTGAGTAAATTCAGTTGAATTATAAAGTGAAGTATAAAGAACAGGACGAACAACACCTTTTATTGGTATATGACTTACTAAATAAAATTCAAAATTATCATGTTCAAAGATAGTATCACAAATAATCGTTCCAGGTTGAGGATTAAAATAACTTTGATAATTTTGACTAAATACTTTAATATCATTTCTACATGAAACAATAAAATACAAAAGTTTAATAGAAATACTTTTTGAGTTAATGATTTGGTTTAAAAGATTTAATTCTCCTTCTTTAATTTTTAATAATGAAGTTTTATTTGCCTTTCTATAAATAATGATATTAGAAGGATACTCTAAATTTTCTTTGTACCAATCATCTAATGCTTTTTGAATTAATATTTGACTATTATATCCTGAATTTCCACTTCCTTTTTTTTCAATAGCTGAATACTTTTTTCTTGTAGCAAATGAATTATATTTCATAGATGAAACAAGTGAAATACATTCTTTATTATCATCATATGGTGTTACAGAAATACCAATAATCATAGTTTTAATAAATTTATTATTGGTTACAACATCCCAAGGAATACCTCCTATTTTTGATTGAATTTGATATGTTATTTGGCTTACAGTTGGAAATAAATTCTGTTTTTTTAATGTGTCTGGATGAATACATTGAGTAATAATTTCTTTTTCAAAACATTTTCGTTTAATATCTTCATATAATGAATCATTTAAAATGACAACAAATACAAATTTGTAATTCAAAATTTCATTAAAATAATCGTCAAGTGAAAGACCAATCATTTTAATAATTTTTGGTGATGTATATTCAATATGCATTTTTGTATGAAATTGATGTAAAATTTGTTCAAAACGAATGAAATAATCAAGGTATTGTGTAGGAACAAGAGCACACCATTTAGTAATATTTACAGGGTTATATAATAATTTATTTCTAATATCATATGACCATTCTTTTAATGTTGATAATCTTAGAAATGAATCTCTAAATATTAATTGAGGTCTTTCTAGTCTGAACCCCATAATTTTTAAAGGAATAGGATTGATAGTAATATTCCATAAATTAAGACTAGGAAGTTTACAAATATAATGTGAAACAAGACTTAGAATATTTTCTAATTTAATATTTGGGGGTTTATAAAAAATATTTTCAAGTTCAACTAATAATTTTTTGTCTGATTTCATTTTTGAAGAAAGTCCAGTCATATACATAAATTCTGGAATAAAATAACTAAATTCATTTGTATTGTTGTTTTCATTAAAGAAAGGATTATTTTGTACAAGTAAAGGTTGTTCTGTATTTTTAATAATTACTCCGTACTTTGACTTATAATAATCTATAAATGATATTTCTTTTCCATCTTTTAATTTAAAAGTATGTAATGGAGTTTTAGAAAAATCAATAGAATCAATTTTTACTAATTTTTTTGTTAATGAATTAAATAAAGACATTGGTTTAAATTCAAATTTGATTTGTTCAACACTTTTATTTTCCATAAATTGTAAAAATGTTTTTATTTGAAATATTTTATGAGATGAATTTACAACTAGAAACGTTTGATTTCCAAATATACGTAACGTTGATGAAAAACCATTTAATATTTTCAATTTCCCATCAGAAGTATTTAATTCAATTGTTTTAGAAGTATCATAAAAACTTTTTTTAAAAGAGACAATAGAATTAGTGTCTTCTACAAATATTGATTTTAATAAAATATTTGCCTTCTGAGTTGTAAATACATTACTTTGAATTGGTGTTAAATCAACTATATATACAACATTGTTCTTTGAATGAATTGAAAAATGACAGTGCTCTTCAATAATTATTTCTGGTAATGAAACAGTACAACCATCAGTTATAATTTTATGTAATCCAATTGAATTAAAATGTGCAATTAAAAGTGCTCTTTTAAGTGAAGAATTAAGAGTATTTGGAATAAACTTAGCTTTATAACTAATAAAGTGAATTTTACTAAAATGAATTTCAAAATAATTTGTAATAAATGGGTATTGTTGAGTATAAAGGTCATGCAATGGCTTTTTTGGTAAAGATGATAAAATGTCAATTTGGTTTTGTGATAAAAGAGGAATTGTATTATTTAAATCATTATTAATTGGATAAATACTTAACATCCTCCTTTTTTTAGTTTTTTTTTAGGTTTTTCATTTTATTTGAATATCCATCCTTTCATAAAATTTTGTTATTATATACCATTCACCTCTCATTAAAACTTTCATTTAATTTACTTATTGTTTATATCTTAACAAATAACATATAATAACCCATTCTTATTAAATAAAACTTCTTTTATAATAATAATTATTCTATTGAATTTGTACACTAAAAAAAGATTTTTTCTTCATTCTTACGAAATGTGTTTATTATCAAAGTTAATTTAAAATGCAAAACAATTACATCTTTTATATCTCTTTATTCATAATAAATTACTAAACACAATATAGAATAGTTCTAGAAGAAATATAAGAGAAGTTTATTTCTTTTAAATACACACACAATTAAAGTACTTCTATTAATAATCTTATGTTTACATAAGAAGTTCATTTTAATATGTTTTAGTATTTCCTGAACTGCCAAAAAATAGAAATTAATAAACCAACCAAACAAAGAAAAATTAGTATTATATTTTGTTTTATAAATCAAAAATTCGAAATATATAAAATGTTTCATTTTTATTTCAATGATGAAAAAAAATGAATGTTAAAAATCGAATAAACCAAATGGTTTAGAGTTTAAAAATGACTATCTCTAAGACTGGTTTTTAAAAGATAGCTTTAAATAGGTCACAAATTTTTTAATTAAGTAATGCAGTTGTATTAAGTTGAAGGTATTATGCTAAATTAAGGAACCTAATAATTTTTTTTTGGTTTTTCATTAATAGAACTAGTAAATATAAATATATTCCGAATGGAACAAAATTTACCCTCTATTTCTTATAATCCTTCAGTAGATGAAGAGAAAGAAACAGAGTTAGAAAAACTTGTTACTGAAGAATCACCAGTACCAGAAGAATTTTATGAAATTGATGTTTGTTTATGTAATGAAGAATTAATTGAAAAATAAATAAGTTCTGATCGTTTTAGGGTGATAACTCTGAATCTTCTTTAGTCAGAATCTCAAGAGAACCAAAAAAACAAGTTGTAAAAAATGAAGGGACAATGGCAAAGATTAAAAAAATTTGCTTGTTCCAAGTATTCGGATTTAAAGGAACTTTGATTCATGTTGTTGCACTTTATTTGTTTATGCTTGGTCTTCTTGGAGGACTAACAGGAACTACTATGGATATTTGTATTGACCAAATTTCTAAATTAAAGAATTGGTTGTTACTATTGTTTGATGCTTCATATTATAAAATTATTGTCTGGATTCTTTTTACAATATGTGGTGGAACTTGTGCATTTTTATTTACAAAGTATGTTTCACCAACAGCTAATGGATCTGGAGTCCCAGAAATGAAAGTGACATTATTAGGAAATCATTTCCCCAATTTTTTAACAATGAGAACATTAATAGCTAAAGTAATTGGGTTAATTTTTGCTATTGGAAGTGGATTATGGTGTGGGTTTGTTATTTTATTTTTGTTGGTATTTAAAAAGAAAATCTATGTTTATAAAAACATTAATATAATACTTATTTAGAATAGAAAAGTTGGACCTTCAATTCACATTTGTTCTTGTATTGCTGCACAATTGGCACATCTTCCTTTTTTCCATTTCATTAGAGAAAATAAAGAATTATTTGTTCATATGTTAGCAATTGCTTCTGGATGTGGTGTTGCTTCTACTTTTGGTTGTCCTATTGGAGGATTATTATTCTCAGTTGAAGTCACGGCAACTTATTATCCTGTCAGAAATTATTGGTTTGCTATTTTCACATCAGTTATATCAGCTTTTACATTTAGAGCTGTAACAAACATTTATAAAGGAAGAGATGGATTATTTACTGGAGTAATGGCAATTTCATATACATTTGAACCTCCTGGAATAAAAGAAGCTATTATTGCTCTTATTATTGGTATTATTTGTGGGGTATTTGCTATTTTATTTACTAATGCAACAGGAACTATTTTTGTAACACGTGCCTATTTACGTAAATTTTATTTGGGAAGAATTCCTTATTTGTACTTTATTATCTTTGCTACTCTTACGGGTGTTGTTACTGCTCCATGGAAAAATAAATATAATGGCTTTGGTTATTCAGTTAATGTAACATTAGGATATTTATTTGGAAATAAATCAATTGAACCTGTCTTTGGTCCTCATTATATCACTGTTTTAGCAGTATATTTTGTTGCTCGGTTTACTATCACTGCGTTTTCAATTTCATTACCAGTACCAGTCGGTCTTTTCTCTACTAATGTAGTTGTAGGTGCAGTTCTTGGACGTTTAATTGGAGAAATTATTAATGAATTAGGAATTTATAATAATTTAGGTCCTGGAGGAATTGCTATTATAGGAGGAGCCTGTTTTGTAGCATCAATTACACAAACATTTAGTGCGACAGTAGTTATATTAGAGTCTATTGATAATAACCAATTATTACTTCCTATTCTACTTGCTACTGTTGTAACAATTTCATTATCAAGATTTTTCACAGAAGGTATTTATGATAAAATTGCTATATCAAAGAAATTACCGTTTATTCCTGATATTCAATATTCAATTCATCAAACAGCAGAAATGGTAATGGATGAAAACATGTTTCCTGTCTCAGAATTTACTACAATTGAAGATTTAAAAGATATCACAGAACATTATAATACTTTAAAAGAAAAAATTATTCCTGTTATTAATAGTAAAGAAGGAGGAATCCTTCTAGGACAAATAAAGTTAAGTTCTATTAGAAAAGTTTTAGATTCTCAACTTTCTAATAAACTTAATGGTAAATTTTTACTTAATTATAAAGAATGTCCTTTGTTATTATTAAGACATACTCCTTTAAGTGAAGTTCATATGCTTTTCATTGCTGCCCAAGTAGAATCTGCTTTTGTTACAAGTAATGGTCGTCTTGTTGGAGAAATCAATAAAAAATGTTTGAATGATGCCTTTAATAAACAAATGAAAATTTTGTTCTAAAAATCTTTCATTTTTTTATAAAAAATATAAAATCGTTATAATAGTATTTATCAATATTATACATTTCACTATTAACATTAGACTTTTATTATAATCAGATCAAAATTATAATTCTCTTTATATTTTCTATATAAAAAATTTCAAATTGCCTTTCTGATTCTTTTTGAGTTAAGTTTTATTATCAGCAAAATAATATCTTCTTAAACCTTATTATCCTCCAAAAATTATATTAAGTAAAAAATGATTTAACTTAATTGAATTATTAATTTTATGACATTTATCCATTTTCAAACCTTGCTTTCTTATTAAAAATCCTCAGAATATTTTATTATTTTTATACAATACACTTTCTTAAAACAACTCTTTTTTTGAGTTAGTTTGTTGATATTTTAACTATTTTATAATAACTTTTTCTTTTCTTGCTTTTTTCTTCTTTTGAAAATTAGTGTTATGAATTTCTTTTATATAAGTTAACAAAATTACTTTCTCTCGGTAAAATGATAGCTGCATATAATGTATAGGACTCAATTATCATCTTTTATTCAAAAGTTCATTGTATTTATAATAACATATAAGGAATTGTTTTAATCAAAGTTTAGATTTGTACTATGAAAAATTACTTTCTTTTCATAATAAAATAAAAATAATTAATTCCATTACAATTCTAATATAGTTTACGTTCATATTATGCTACTTTGTAACTTTTACTTAACCCCTTTTTTATGAATTACTGATAACAAACATCCAAAAAAATATAAAGGAAAATTACTAATTTAATTTAATAAGAAGTCTCCGATTTACGTACAAGAACTGGATAAATTTCGTTAGACGGATGGAGATAATTAAAAAATACAAAAAACTTGTATTCTGGCTTTTCATACATTTTTGGAATAGGATAAACTAGAGGAATAAATCCGTATCCTGTTTCAAAGTAATGTTTTTCTAAAACGGCATATCCACCACCAAACCCAACTTTACAATTATCAAGACTATGTTTTAGGTTTAAGTTTTTGAATAATTTAGCATTTAGAAATTTCATTGCATCTTTCTCTGTATCAAAAGCACCACCAAAAAGAACATCATATAAAACAGTATTATCCTTGATTGTTGCTTTTTTAAAACATTCTTTATTATTTATTTCTTTGCGATAATCTGTATGAACATTTATCTTTAATTGACAAGGGGCTATTCTTAGATGGAATATATAATAAGTTATGTTGTCCTCCTTAACTTCTTTTTCCAAAAAAGATACTTCATATATAGCAGCACCATCAGGTAAATGGATAATGTCTTGATCAGTATTTTTATTTGTTGGAGAGTAGACACTAACACCACTTTTTATTTCAACTGACCCTGGTTTATCCGAATTACCATTTGTTTTTTGTGTGTATGTTATAGTACTATTTTCATTTAACTGATGATTTACACTTTTGGTATTTGTTGGAGTTTTACATGAAGAACTACTAGAACAGTCTGGTGCTATACTTTTGTATTTTAAAATTAGGTTTCCAGTACCTTTTTTTTTTGAACGAAGCCCATAACCAGGTACTATCATTTCTTTGTTGAATCTTGTAAGAGAAAGTGTTTTTCCAGACAAGAAAACAAAAGACCTATTTTGAAGTTCCTCATCTGAGACGTAATGAATAATATCCAAACCATCACATTCCCAATTGTCTGGACACTGTACATCAATTTTAATGGTAATTGAATCAAGGAATATAGAATTTGGAGTATCATATCCTATGGGAATTTTGATTTGATAAGTTCCTTTTAATATACTTGAAACTTTAATCACTCTCAAAGTATTGTTATAATACTCTTGCAAAGATACTTTGATTGAAACCTCTAATGGTAATGAAGCTAAATCAGATAAATATCTCTGCACTTTAAAGTCATCAATTAACTCTTTTTTTCTTTCATTACTGAGTTTTTGATAGTGGCATTGAAACTTGGTATAATCATTGTCTTGTTCAATACCTTTTATCTGAATTGATTCTGGTGAGGTAATCAAATCAGAAAGAAAAGAATCATATTTTACTGAAAGAAGTCTAACTAGAATAGTTGAATAAGAAAAGTCATCAATGGTAGATTCAGAGCTGTTATTTGGTTTACTCATTGATATTTGAATTTTTATTTTAAGATTTCGTTAAATCTCTTTATCAAAGAAATGATGTTTAATGAAATTTTTTTTAGTTTCTAACTTTTTTGTTGTAAAATAATGACTTTAATTTTATTTTATTAGAAAAATAGTATTATAACAAGGAAAGTTACTTTTTGAAAAAATTAAGAGAATATAGTATAATTATAGTAAAAATAATACTAAAGATATAGCTTTCTTTGATTATTTTTTGAAAAAACATTATTTTAAGTTTATTAAATATTTATAACTAGTTTTTTACTGTAGTATTTTCCCAATTATTTACTTTATTACTGGATATTTTAAAGAAAATATAATTTTTGTTTGAACAAAATACTGTACTTTATTTGTTATTCCAGTACATTCAGTTTTACGCTTTAAAGTTTGTTTAGAATATGTTAATATCATTTTTTTATTTAAATCAATTTTTTATTTTGTTTTAATTTCATTATTTTTACTATTATTTTGATTAACAACATAATGATTTATTAATCTAATTCATTGTACTAATTAGAACACTGTTCAAAAACTCTTTGTATTACTTTTGATTAGTTTCTCATCTTGGTGACTCTCTTTGTATTTCCAAATATTTCCTTTCATTTAAAAATGAATAAAATCAAACACATTCACATGAATTTTACAATGAATAACAAAAATATTGATAATAACAAAATAAAAATGAATTAAAAATAGAATATTCCAATAGAGATCTTAAAAAGAATAAAAAATAAGAAAAACAAAAATATAAACTAATAAATAATAAAAATACACTAATAAATATTGTTTTTTTAATCATAAATTTTATCATTAGATAAATTTCAATAGAACAAATCAAATATATTTTATCATAAAAGTGAAATAATAATGTAAAGTAGATATAAAGTTATTTTTTTGGATTATAAGGTTAAATAGAAATTATTTTTAAATATTTTTGTTAGTAATTCATGTAGTATTTGAAAATAAAAAGTATCTTTTGCTCTTTTATTTTGAATTTTTTATAGTTTTAGAAAGAACTTTATTTTATAATAAATATTTTAAACATCATTAATGAATAGTTTATTATCAAATTATTTTGAATCTTCTGAAACCAATGGAAAAGATGAAATAACTCAACTTGATAATGAAATTAACTATTATGGATTGCAGTGTGTCGCTGAACAAACTCCATTTGAGGTTAATATGAAAGGAAATGTTGTTGAGTTCTCAGTTAGTGTTTTACCTCAATATGCTGGTAAATTATATATTTCTTTAACTCTTTACAACCAAAAAGAGGCTATTCAAAATTATCCTACATTCAGTTGTTTGTCTGAAGGAAAAACAAAGTCTTCATTTGAACTTCAACAAAAAGGATATTATCAAATTCATTTAAAGAAAGGAACAGAAAATGTCAAATCAATAAAAATTCAATTTTCACTTCAACAACTTTATTTACAAGTTGTTAATTATAACTCTCTTTTCATAAAATTGAATGAACGTTCACATAAAGGAGACACTATAGTGATTACACAACAACCATCACCTAAGTTAAAAGAACGCATTGAACAAACACATGAAAAATTATATCAATACACTTTAGAAGACGGTGTTATTTTATATCATATTAATTTACCTAATACTATCAATAACAAACATAGTCTTTGGTGTTGTTTCTATTACTCAACAAATAAGATATCAGGCTCACCAATTGTGCTTGCATTTAGTTATTTCCAAGTCCCATTCCATTAGTAGATGATTTTTTTTCGTTAATGTTAGTTTTTGTAAGAAGTTTTTGAATGTTTTTTTTTAAAAAAAAGAAAAAGAAGAATGAGTTAAACAATAAAAATCAAGAAGATGTTAATTTTAGTATTTCCAAGGTGTGGCAAATTAGTTTCTTATAAACTTAAATTAGAAAATGACGTGGCATATCACTAATAAAGTATCTGAAAGTACTAAGTATTCACTCGGTTTAAGTTATGGGAGACGACGATATTATCATTATCATCCTTTGTATCTTTATTCCACCATTGGCTATTTGGTGGAAAACTAAAGAAGTTGGAATGGACTTCATTATTTGCTTATTATTATGGCTCATTTGTTGCTGGCTTGGAGGTGTGATTTACGCTTTCTTTAAGTGTTTTGCTTAACTCTAATTAAATTTTAGTCTACAATTTGTTTATTTAACGTTAAGATAAATAATAATTATTTCAGTTCATATATAAAAAGAATTGTATTAATCTATTTGTTGTTCATTTTTAAACAGACTAAGGAGGACTACAAGACAACTTTTAATAAGTTAGAGTGGAATGTTTGTTAAACAAAAAGTAGTTCAACCTTACTTAAAATATTCGACTTTTGATTTAAATTAATACTAGGAGTTAGTTATTTGTTTGAGTAAGTTTAAATTGTTAATTTAATAAAACATGACGAAATCATTGTTTCATAACAAAAAAAAATTATTTGAATTATTAATTTACATAACTAAGAATATTTTAGTTTATTAAGTTGTTATTAAAGATTAGTCTCACTAAACATTATGATTTTCTTCATGTATCATTAATTGATACTTTTTTCTAAAAATTATAAATCTTTTTAGTTCTTTTTAATGATTCTAAAAACTTCTTACGATGTTATTAAAATAAAGAACTACAAACTTTTATTACAATAAAATACTAAATATTACTTTTACAAAATAAAAACTTGACATTAATTCATTAATAAGATGCCATGCAGTTTATTATCTTAATGAAATGTTTTTTTATTAATTAATACAGTTTTGTTTACAAGTTAGTAGTAATTCAAAAATGAAAAACCTCTAATTTTACTCAAGTGTGAATTTTACTAAATATAAACAAATTTAAATAGTAATTATCTCTGCTCCAAAGAAAAAAAAAAATAAAATAGAAAATTTAAAAGTTTAAATTATTTTTTATAATATT